TTCTCAGATTATTTGATCAGCATACAGACTGCATAAGTATGTTGAAAGGATACAATCCTGACACACACATTTCATGATTTTAAACCATGCAGTATCCCTTGTTCTGTTAGAATGACTGTTCATGTACAAGTTCCTCATGAGCACAATTAAGTGTTCTGAAATTCCCATTTTTTGAAATGTTCTCCATAATTTGTTATGATCCACATAGTCAAATGCCTTTGCATAGTCAATAAAACACAGTTATTTCTTTTTCTTTCAGCTAGGATTCATCTGACATCAGCAATGATATCTCTCATTCCACGTCCTCTTCTGAATCTGGCTTGAATTTTTTTTTTTTTTAAATTGTGATTTGGGTGAAAGTTTACAGAGCAAATGCACTTTTCATACAGCAGTTCACATACACTTTGTCTCATGACATTGACTACAATGAACCCTAATGCAACAGCTCCTCTCCCACTTCCTCCTGATAGTTATCTCTTCTCTGTGTCCATCCCTCCATGCACTGCTGCCCTGAGTGTCTCCGTGTGCATAAACAGCCCTTCTTTCTCCCATGATTGTTCTCTCCAAGGAGTTTATCTACCTCAGGTAAATGTTCAACTCATATGCCTGTCTTTTGTTTGGCTGGAAGCCACAGGTGTGGGTTCAATTCCAGACCTGAAGGGAAGATAGGGGCCATAGTCTCAGTGGTTCCACAAGGCTGTATCAGACCAGCAAAACTTTTTTTTTTCCCCAAATGATTTTGAGTTTTGTTCCACATTGTTCTCCCTCTTTATCCAGGATCTCCTACATGGATTCCCCTCCGAGTGGTTGACAGTGGTAGCTGTCTAGTTCTTCTGGTCTCATGGTCATATAGGCTGTGGATTGCATGGTGTACCAGTCACTAGGACTAATTGTTTCCATGAATCTTTGGTTTTCTTCATTCTTCTTTGCTCTGGATGAGGAGAGACCCATCGTTGCATGTAGATGGCTTCTTGCAAGCTTTTAAGATCCCAGTCACTACTCACCAAAGTAGGAGGTGGAACAATGTTTTGTGTAGTATGTTATGCCAATTGAGCTTGATGTCCCGTGACTATGGTCCCATGGCTTGAATTTCTGATATTTCTCTGTTGATGTACAGCTGCAACCATTTTTGAATTATCTTCAGCATAATTCTACTACAAGAAATGAACCTAGGACTTTGTTTTGGAGACTGGAATTTGAATCCCTCCTCTGTTGGATTTTACTTCTCTCAGCTCCTTCATCTATATAAAGGAATTGGACTAGAGCTTTGGTGGTGTTGTGGTTAAAGCATTGGGTGGCTAACCAAAAGGTTGGTGGTTTGAACCCACCAGCTCTTGTTTCCACAAAGATGTACAGCCTTGAAAACCTTACAGGCAGTTCTACTTTGTCATAAATGGTCAGTATGAGTCAGAGTCTCCTCAATGGAAGTGGGTTTGGACTAGATAAAACCAGTGGTCTGTTTATCACGAGGTAATATTTGAAAAAGCAGAGATGGCAGTGGGCCCATAACATTTGTGATATCCAGCATGCACTGGATTTGAATATAGTCTTGGGCTAAGGACACAGCTGATACCAGGTTTTAGCACACCACATTTAACAGGAAGCAGCAACAGTTTTTAGGATCCATGTTTTTCAAGCTTGTCATTCCTCCACAACTCTCCACTCTCTAGGATAAATTTATTTAAAGAGAAGGAGCCATTGGTGGTTCTGTGGCAGATTCTTGTCTTCCACGGGGGAGACCTGAGTTCAATTTCCAGCCAATTCACCTCACGTACAGCTACCATCCATCTATCTGTGGAGGCTTGTGTGCTGCTATGATGCTGAACATGTTTCAACAGGGCTTCCATGCTAAGACAAACCAAGAAGGGATTGACAACCTTCTTCTGAAAAGAGCCCCTGAAAGCCTTATGGATCACAATGGTCTCATCCACAACTGATGGCATAAGACCAGGCAATGTTTTGTGCCATTTATGCATGGGTCACCATGAGTTAGGAGCCAACTCTATGGCAGCTAAGAATACTATATAAGAAAAATGTTGGCAACTTTCTGTCACTACTGTCAAATCAATGTGTAGGATGAAGATAAATAAGGCTCAGTTGTTGTCTTTAAGGACCTTACACTCAGGCTAAAGAAGAAGGTTTAAATAAACAAAAGGTCAAATATGATAACAACAATACGTGGTAGAATCACAGTAAGGGAGAAGGGAGAGATTTTTCTTGATTGGAAGGAGTTACCTGAGATTAGGGATGGCTGTGGGTGATGTGGACAGAAGAGTACCCACGCCAGGATGAAGAAACACCATGAGCAAAGATGTTGAAAGTTAGCACAGCAGGCCTTCAGGAACAGGTGGTTAGTTTTTCTATTTCATAAATACACTTGTGGGAGATAAAATTAGAAATACAGGTTGAAGCCAGCTGGTGGAAAGTCACTGGTCTTAGACTTAGAAGTTTGGACTTGTATTCAATAGACAATGCAGAACTATTTCCTGTTTTTGAACAGGGGAGGGAATGCAATTGTGCTTCAGGGAGACAACTCTGGCATCAGTGTCACCTGGATGGAGGAGGAACCTGGATGGATGGGGTGCCGGGACCAGCTAGCAGATCATTAGAAAGTTCCAGAACTGAGGTAGTGGCTGAACTAAGGATAGCAGTTATAGAAATGAAAATGAGGTAAGGAATGAGCAAGACATTTTGTGAGGTAGATCTGAGATGACTGGGAAGCAGATAATATGAGAAGATTGAGGAAGATAGAGAAGTCACAGAGATACCGCCTTGGAAATGCAAGGCAAGGTCATTGGAAGCCCAAGGAGGGGTCACTATGAGTCAGAAACAACTCCATAGCAGTGAGTTTTTTTTTTTTTTTTAAAAAACCCTAGCATGGATGACTAAGAAAATGGTGGAAGCTATTAGAAGAAGGTTGTTGTTGTTGTTGTTATGTGCCGCCGAGTCGGCCCGACTCATAGCGACCCCTCCTTGGGTTTCCGAGGCAGTATCACTACGGAAGTAGGATTGCCCAACCTTCCTTCCGAGGAGTGGCTGGTGGGTTTGAACCGCCAGCCTTCTGGTTAAGCAGTCAAGTGCTTTAGCCACTATGCTACCAGGCTCCTAGTTTTACTAAAAGTCAGGAGAAGATGCTGCCTTAGTTTTTGGGTTTGTGGAGTTTGAAGTCACAGGGCAGCATTAAGATTAGGATATTCAGTGGACACTTTGGAAATGTGAGGCCTTCTCAAAAGGACTAGAGGTACAGATTTGGGAATCACCTATGCAGAGGTGACAGTTAATGCTATGTTGTTGTTTTGTGCCATCAAGTGGGATCCAACTCACAGCGACCCCTCCTTGGGTTTCTGAAGCAGTATCACTACGAAGTAGATTGCCCCATCTTCCTGCAGAGGAGTGGCTGGTGGGTTTGAACTGCCAGCCTTCTGGTTAGCAGTCACGTGCCTTACGCACTACCTACCAGAGCTCTTAGTTAATGCAATGGGAATTGATAATCCAACAAGGGGACTAAATAATATGGGGCCTAGAAGAGAAAAGGATTTAGGACACTATCTTGGGGTCATTATGGTTAGAGAGTGGGAGGGTAAAGTAAACCTACTGAGAAAGACAGGTGCCATCCCAGCCCTGGGAGCTCCAGTGGGGTAGTGCCTAAGGCATTTCCTAACCAGAAAGCTTGCGATTCAAACCCATCAGCAATTGCGCAATCTATTTCCACACAGGTACGGCCTCGGAAACCCAACGAGGGGTCGCTATAAGTCAGAAAGGACTCCATGGCAGTGAGTTTTTTTTTTAAACTCCGTCTTAGGAAGGACTGCATACTCAGGATCGTGAATAATAGAGACTTTAAGGGCTGAAAGGGGATTTAGAGATTAGATGATTCAATGTCTCTTCCCACTCCCTTCACAGAGAGAAATTGAAGTCCAGGCAAAAGATCCAGTTAGGTTACTCCGCTAGCCAGTGGTAGATCCAGAATTAGAATCTTTCAATCTCGTACTCTTTCCACAAGCACATGCTTCCCTCTTCCCACCCATTTTAAGGTATTCATTAAAAAAAAAAAAATGCAGTCCTTGAACACACAGAAAACCACTAAGTTTTAACATGCAAGTTAAGCTAAGGATTCAGAAGGTATTTCTTACATTACGCCAGGGGGAAACCAGGCGGTTGGGGGGATGGGCAGGATGCCACCGCCTAGATGGGGCTAGGGGAGCTTCAGTCCATCCCGAACCCGGCTGGCTGTTCGTAAACGGTCGCGGTGTCCCCTACTCCAGCCCGCGGGTGTGCAAGGCCGGGGCGGGAGGTGACCTAGGCGGCCTCCAGCGGTGCGGCCGGCCGGCTAGCCGCGGGCTCACGCGCACCCCCTAGGGAGCGCGCGCGCCGCTGCACCCAGATGCGGACGCACGCCCAAATCACACCGCACACTCGGCCGCCTCACACCGGGGCGCGCGCACACGCGCAGGCAGGCACACACGCACACTCGCGCCCACACACCCCGTCACGTGAGCGTGACAGCGGCTCTCTCGCCGTGGCAGGGGCGGCAGCCCGAGCAACAGCAGCGGTCACCGCCGCTGCCGCCGCGGCCGCCGTAGCGCAAGGAGCCGTGAGTCCCACAGAGCAGGCGGCCGCTGCGCGAGCCCAGGAGCCGGCTGGCGTGCTTGGGGGCAGGCCGGGCGGGGCTGTGGTCCGAGGCCCCGAGGCGGCCCGCGTCTGGAGCGGCGCAGAGCCGGCGAACGAGGCCGCCATGGCGGGGCTCCACTGAAGGAAGCGCCGAGGGAGGAGGGGAGGGGGGCGAGAAGAAGAACAAATCCCTGCATTTCCTCCTCCTCCTCCTGCTCCTCCACACCATCCCTGCCTCCGTGCCTGCTCGCCCTGCTGCTCTCGCGCCGTCCTCCTCCTCCTCTATGCATCCCTGAAGCGGCGCAGGGACTGACTGCATTACAAAAATTCTCTTGCAAACAAAGAGAAAGAAGGAGCGAGCGAGGGTGGGGGGTGGAAATCTGCTAGGCGAGCATGGCGGACCGCAGCCTGGAAGGCATGTCTTTGCCTCTGGAGGTGAGAGCCCGCTTGGCTGAGCTGGAGCTGGAACTATCAGAAGGTAACCAAGCGCCCCCCGCCCCCCTTTTCCTACTTCTTCCCTTTTTGCCTGGAAAAATGACCTCCCCCCCACCGAAGCCGCCCAGGCACCCGCGCCCTCGGAGCGACCCGAGTCGGTGCATGTCGCGGGGACCGTGGTTGCTGGAAAGTGTCATTTTCCTGGGGAGGGGGCAGGGTAGGGTTCCCCCCACCCTCAAGGGTTGGTTGGCGCGCAGGGCAGTTGCGCGGGTGCTCGGGGCGGCAGGGTAGATTTCCGATACTGCAGTTGTAGGCTGCGCGGGGCGTGCGCGGCGTGGGGATCTGTCACCGCGAGTGGAGATCGAGATTCCGGCTCCTGGTCTCCTCCGGGCGGCAGACGGGATCTGCTCCACCTGGTCTCCGCGGTCCTCGGAGAGAGGGCTTCTGGGGGCTGGGTCCGGAGGGGAGGGGAGGTGCATTTCCGGGGTTTGGGTGGCGTGTGTGTGTGGGGTGTCTCTACACCCCCCACCCCCCTTTCCAGGGTCTGTTTTTTGTTTTTGTTCTCCATTTCTCACCTCTGCTTGCAGCTGCGGCCGCCGCGGCTCTGGCGCGGAGCGGGGGAGCGGCTTCGCCAGCAGCCTCGGCTCTGTAGGGTGGCAGGCTTTATTATGGAAGATGGAAAAACCTTTAGGGCTGGGCTCGCAGGCACCTCTGCCTGGTCAAAGGGAGAAGATTTTAGCGACATGTGTACCATGCTCTGATGTGAAAGCCGTCTGATGTCCTCAATGCCAAAGTCTGTGCATTACAGACGACGCCAAAGTGTTGTGAAGGTTTTCTGAATCAGAGGAACGGCTCGATAATGCCAGCTTGCCGTTTAATATAAAACTTGTGATTAGACTTTAGAATGTGGTCTCCTCTGATGTTGTAGGGCTTCCTGGTTTCCAAACAGTTCTGTCATAGTTAGTGGAATATAGTACTACTATTGTTTGGTGTGTTGTAATACAAAGAATAGAGTAAAATCATAAAACCTCTTCCCTCAGGCCAGATTTTATGCCTAGCTTTCATCGAATCATACTTAGAATTGGTGACACATTTGCTAAAGTAATTTCATGGAGTGTTATATACGGTTTTTAAAAATTTGCTCTTAATGGTGAGGATCATGTGTTCAACTGTTAAAAGTTTTAAATCGGGATTTGCTACGTCTTAAAAAAAAAAATCAAAGTTCCCAAACGTTAAATTTTCAATATATTTAGTATTCACTGGGCTTACCCTGGGAAGGCCATTAATATAATGTGGTGGGGGATGGGGATTGGCCAGCTTGTTTCGAATTTATACTTAGAGTATTTAAGCGTGGTGAACTTTTTTTTTTGGTAACGGTTTTGTGAGGGCCGGCAGCCAGAAAGTAAATTCATTCGTGCCAATTTTCATCAGCAGGGAGGAGCTGATGTTGACTTTTTATATTTTCCTTTTTAACACTTTCAGGCGAAGAAAGGAATAAACGTGGGAGGTGTGGTGCAGTGTTGTTCAACTGCATTTTCAGATTTCTATGGACTAGGTTTCTCTGTTTCAAATTTGGGATTCTGTAATGTATTTTAAACGGTCCAGTAGAAGGAGAAAGATAATTTTTTCCTGGGTTCTGTGTGTTTAGTCGTAACTGTACTGACTAGTTGAAATGACTAAGACATTACTAGCTCCTCAGAAGACCTAAAGGCGGGAAATAGTATATAGTATTAACTGGGAACAATATTTAAAAGCTAAACCAGTAGATAAAGTCTGTAGTATAGACTACTTGAAGGGAAAAAGTATCTGTTGGAACCTTTTCCCTAGTCCTTTTAATTTTGCCAATGTTAAGATAAATTTTCTTCCTCACTTTACCAGTCCCTCTTAGCTTTATTTTCTCTTATGAATCACTGTTTAGTCACTATTGTATTATTTACAGGCCCCAGTTTTCATGTTATCTCCAAACAAGCACTTGTCTTATGTCTGCATTATACTGCTGTTAAATGTAAATGTCTTGTGCTAGCAAAGCATGAAACCATATGGACCCAACAGGGTTGTGCCCTGTTTGCAGAATCCAGGTCCCCCTGTCAGTCTGGCAATCAGTTCATACTTGCTTCTGAAAGTCTGGGATAACTCTTGAAAACTTGTATGCTGGTTATTCTTCCTCTAGTTCATTGTAAGTAGTTGTTTTATGAACATGCACTTAGATGACACTCACCTGGTTTTGGACAGTTGGTCTTGAAGGGTGAGTAATATGTTCTTGCTGGCATCTTCAAAAGACTGCCCGAGGATGGCAAAAGCACTTTAGACTAAGGTGTACTTGACCTAATTCCTGGTGAACACCTTCTGTCTGTAAAAATTTTTTAAAAGGGCTTAATGGGTCTCTTACTGAATCACTACACAGAGAAGGGAGTGTGTATGTGTTTTGTACAAGAAACATCTTACTGTTTTTCTTTCTTTATGAACGTTGCTAAAACCTGAACTAAAAATGTAAGAGTAAAAAAATCAAAGGGTATTGTTGTATTCAGCCTCAGCCACTCCCCTCTACCTCCCATCTATTAGCTGTGTCATCTTTGAATTTATTGTGAAGTGTGACTTTGTCCATGTTACATTTATGGATTTTTTTTAAGGTTATTTGGAATTTTATTTCTTGTAAGCACATAAACTAATTTTACTGGTTTAAATTAGATGAATCAACTTGTTTTCCAGTATTGCTTAATAGAAACCAAAGAATGGAAAGATCAGAAATCTCAGTGTCTCTTTATGTTGTGGAATTTAAAAGATTGCCCATCATATCCATTTTCAAAGTGAAAAGTTAAAACAACTTTTAATGCTGAATTATTAAAATGTATCTCTTTCACATTTTATCTTCAATCAGAATTCATGTGGAGAGAATTCTTTAACTTAGTTTTCACAATTTTATTAAAATATCATAAAATGCTGTAGAAACATGTGAAATTTCCAGTGCCCAGTTCCCACAGAGAGGAATGGAAACATATTCCATTTTAAGCACATAACATCAATTGAAAATAAAGAATATTTTCCCAGAGTTCCTATATGGGCTGGCAAACTTTAATGGATTACTTATTATCTATCTAGGTTTTTAGGCACTGGCCCAGTTTTGATATGCACCCTCCTTTAGGTGCTGTTCTATACACAATGTTGCTTTTATTTTATTGGGTGATTGTTTGGTAAAGGGTTGCAGGTTAATTTCTTGGCAGCAAAACTCAGATGTTTACTTTCCTCTTTTGTTTGTTGCCTCCTTATTTCTTGCCACTGTCTGCTACTACACTGAGCTTCCTTTTCTTTGGGGAAAGGGAGGCTCTTTCCACATAGTAGAACATCGTTGTCAGCAGAATACAAGCACTTTCTGTGGGGAGATGTGGCTGGCAGCCTTTTCCATGGCACTAAAAGCCTCAAATCCACAGGTCTGGATAAATTTGCTGGTGTGGGGCCAGGGATTGTTGGTCTGCTCAAATACTCTGGACTGAATGTGAGACCGGAGGAGGAAACCATCCCAAATGAGCCATTGGCTTGAGGATGCCAGGTGGAAGAGGAGGGAGTCTTTCTCCAGACTCCTTTCCCCAGATTCTTTCCTTTTTTTTTTTCTAAATTTGTATTCTTGTCTTTTGGAATTGTAAAGTTTTCCATTTGGCTTTAAGAGATCTTAAAAATAATTTTGTTAATATGTAAATAAACATTATTTGGTTTAAAGAAACACTTTAAATGGAAACACTGAGCCATCAGAGAGGAAACAAAAAACTTCCCAATAAAGAAAAACTCAAGTCTTATTAAAAGCAAATTTGGTTGTTTGAAATTTAGAAATAATTCTGTTAACTAATCTAGAGATTTTATTACTTGGTATCACTTGATTCCTGGGCTATGTATATACCTCAGACACTGGACTTGAATCTATGTAAGGACCTCTTTCTCACTTTTTCAGGCATGGTTGAGTTCTTCCTTTGCTAGAACTTAAGGAAACTGCCTTGGATATGTTGTTAGTTGCCACTGAGTTGATTCTGCCTCATGGCAATCCCATGTGTGTAGAGTGTAATGGCTCCATAGATTTTTAGAAGCCAATCACCAGACCCCTTTGATAATTTGAACTACGAACCTTTCGAGGAGAAGTCAAGTGGTTAGCCATTTGTGCCAAGTGGCACAAATTGTTTGGTTTTTGTAAAAGAGAGTCTTTTAAAAAATATACACTGTGGCTTTTTAATTGTTAGTGTATCACATGCCTATTAATTTCCTAACTTCTGCTTATGGGAGTTGCTAAGTTACTGCTATGCCTTGCTAATTATATACCAGATTGCTTCAACTATTAGTTATGTTCCATAATACAATCCAACTTAACATTTTCTCAGTAAGTGTGAAAACTGCTTGAGGAAGGAAATGAAAGCTCAGTTAGATGGTTAAGGAACCAATAAATATTCTGGTAGTGGAGATGAGCAGTTCACGTGTAGTTTGCATTTGCTGTCACCAAAGAGTAAAGTCTTATCGAGATACAGGCATTTGGAAGGATATAGACATTGGGTGTGGTATTTTCAGAGCTATTGGCATAAGATAACAGATAAATGTAGCTATAAAACCAAAAACACTAAATCTATTGCTTTTGAGTTTGATTCTGACTCATAGCAACTCTGTAGGACAGAGTAGAGCTGCCTCATAAGGTTTCCAGGATTGTAATTTTTATGGAAACAGACTGCCACATCTTTTTTCTTTAGAGCAGCTGGTAGGTTTGAACCTTTTCATTTAGCAGAGCACTTTAATGACTGCACCACCAGTGCTCCTAAATGTAGTATAGAATTCATATTCTTTCCCTTCACTATCTCTTCAGTCTCTATTCTTTTCTTGGAGGTCCCTGTGACTATGCAGTAAGGCAGACACAAACCATCTCTGCCAAAGCTTAAAGCTTTGAAAGTGTGTAACGAATGGGAGACCCAGATGTCTTGCTTAACAATACCTATAAGGCTTATCTCCAAATTCCCGATTGTATACATTCTGTTCCTTGAAAGGAAATGGTTCTCACTGAAAACAAATGTC